CATCAAAACTAAAAGCATCAAAAGTTTAAATTAAGATTGTGAGCCTCGTTTTCCTCTCAAGGTTGTCCCTATACAGTCCTTATATGTGAGAACATACATTATGTATTCGGTAAGTCTCTATACTTTAGGGACTCACTTTCCGATCCATTGGAGATTCATTTTGTCCCTATATTTGTTTTATACTTATTTGAAACAGTGGTTGTCCCTATTTAAAGACTTCATTAGAGATGTTTTAAAGGGGGTGGAGGAGTTGGCACAATGGGTTAGCAATAATGTGTTTCAAATTCACCTTTAGCGAAAATCGAACTTAAAGCCTCTCGCCACAAGTGAAGAAGAATATTACTAGACCATAGTACTAAGTAGCAAAAATTTAGCTTTTAACACAAGAGTTGGAGATGGTCTAAAAGGCTAAAACAATTAAAAAATTATTTAATCAACCTTCACCTAAAAACTTTAGAGTGCTACTAAACCCATTCCATTGTCATATTTCTTCACCCACATTATAATTCCACCCATCATAAAACGTTAAAAAATTAAAATGTTATTTCTCCACCCATATCATTCCTAAAATAACCTCTAATTAACAAGTGGCATAAATATGTATGACTGCATTATACAATCACCAATAACGGCTGCGATTTCATCTACAATCACTCTTCAATGTACCAGTGAATTCACCTTCCCAAATTCAAATCCCATATTTTGGCAACAAGCTGATAATGGTGCCACTAGTGCCACCTGATCCAATTCCACACTAGGCCTCCTCATCAACACCCCATTTTGAGCACACCCCACAATCATGGTGCTCCACGAAGCGACATTCCTCTCCGGCATCTCATTAAAAATCCTCTGTGCCCCATCAACATCCCGACACCAAACATAACCCCCAAGCAACGAATTCCAACTCGCAACATTCCTCTCACGCATACCATCAAATACTGTGCATACTCGACACCACCCCTAAATCCACTTACCATAACCCTCTTATGCACATGTTCCCCTTTTATCACCAAACCCGAAGCACTAAAAACATATGAATAGGAAAACCCATCAGCCTTCGTGATGCAGATCAGTTCGCCATACCATTTATTGAATCATCGGGATAAAATCAATGACTATAGCCAATCATAAGAACTTAATAACATTAGTAGCTCTTAATAATAGCCAGGGCATTTTGGACGTTTTTTGGCTGATTGGATTACTTTGTTTATGTAATTTTCAGTTTTAAGTGTTTTTATGTTTATTGCCTTTTTAATTTCTAAATGTAAGTTACAAAATGGTTATAAAAACCATTTCTTTCTATAAGATGAAGGAGTTGGACATTTTTTTATTAATGAAAATTCTCAGAGTGTTTCTTTGTTTCAGTTTTGTGCCTTTCTTTTTATTAGATTGTTCTGCTTTGTTCTTCTAGTTGTCTATGTTGTAGGCTGGTACTAGAGACGGGGTTTTGGGGTTTTCAGGTCTCTCCTCGCACTAAGAGATAGTGGACCCTGTATATCAATTTTCCTTTTCGTTTTATTTGGTTCTATCCGCTGCGCCCTGGATCAGTTGGTTATTAGAGCCCTAATCGATTCTTTGGTTATCATGTCGCTGTTGTCAGGTTTTTACGAAATCCATAATTTAGTCGATTGGAATTCTCTACCTATTTATGATGAGTATGATTAAGATTACATGCTTGTGATTAAAGTAGCTAATGAAATTCAATTTACTCTGCAAATCGAAACTCATTGTGTTGCCGATTGGGATTCTGCCCTAATTATGGATGAATGCAATGGTGATGAAGATTTGAGTTCAATGGTTAAGGTACTTGTGGTATAATCTATTCTACATTTCTATAATTTTTATGATTATGTTTGGGAATCATTCATTACTTGTAACACTACAAAATTTTACTTGGAGAAAAGAAATTTTTCACATTGTTCGAATTATGTCTACACTTTTCAAAGTCTAAAATATCAAGATGTTTCCTGGAAATTGTATGTGCCCTCAAATGCAATTTATGTCATCAATAAAAGATTAAATTCCAAACAGAACATGACAAAGTGGAGCAGAAGGAAATTATTTGGAATTTTGTACTATTTGGATATGTTGATGCATGCTGAATTTTTGGTTCTTGATTGGCTATTATGGCAAGTACTTGTTGGGTATCCAAAAGACAGAGGAAGACCAAACAAAACTTGGGGACAAGTTTATTCGAGAAGAACGGATTATGTGTTCCATGATGGGTTTCTCTTTAACGGGAAACAACTGAGTCTAGTTTGAGGCGGCAAATCATACAAGAGTTACATAGCGATGGCCGCGTTGGAATGGACAAAACCTTGACACTAGTGTTTTTTTCTCATTTCTGGCCTGCCATGTGTAAAAAGTATATTGTTTAATGGAACAATGTCAAATCTATCAAGTTTCTAAGGGCAAGGCAACGAACGCTGCTTTGTACATGCCATTACCCATTCAATCACAGCCATGGGTGGACATGAGCATGGATTTTGTTTTGGGTTTGCCTCATACTCAGCATGGTGTAGACTCAATTTTTGTTGTGGGGGATCAATTTTCCAAAATGGCTTACCTTATTGTATGCAAGAAGACAACAGATGCTTCATAAGTTGCTAAGTTATTCTTTTGTGGAGTGTACTGACTTCTTGGATTACCAAGTTCGATTGTTTCAATCATGACACCAAGTTACCAAGCCATATTTGATATGTTCAAAGTGAAACACCTCATTCCATACAGAAGGGACATCAACAATACTGGAAATGCAAATTTGAGGATGAATTTTCTCCAACCCTGAGAGGATGATGTAGATCAGTTTGCCACAACATTTATTGAATCATTGCGATAAAATCAATGAGTATAGCCAATCAGAAGAACTTAATAACATTAGTAGCTCTTAATAATAGCCAGAGTGTTTTGGACGTTTTTTGGCTGATTGGATTACTTTGTTTATGTAATTTTCAGTTTTAAGCGTTTTTATGTTTATTGCCTTTTTAATTTCTGAATGTAAGTTACAAAATGGTTATAAAAACCATTTCTTTCTGCAAGATGAAGGAGTTGGACGTTTTTTATTAATGAAAATTCTCAGAGTGTTTCTCTGTTTCAATTTTGTGCCTTTCTCTTTGTGAGATTGTTATGCTTTGTTCTTCTAGTTGTCTACGTTGTAGGCTGGTACTAGAGACGGGGTTTGGGGTTTTCAGGTCTCTCCTCACACTTGGAGATAGTGGACCCTATATATTAGTTTTCCTTTTTGTTTTATTTTTTTTTCTATCCGCTGCGCCATGCATCACTTCGCCCCCAAACCCTCTAGCCATTTATATAATTCAACAGACTTCTGCAAAATTTTGCTCTGAGTGTAGCCTCTGGTCGTTTGGTTCCACATAGTAGTAACTGTGTTTTCAACATTTTTGAAAATTTTGAGGGCGCGATCGAGACACCCAAAAAAGCAATGTAGAATGATAAAATCCGAACAAGAATGTAGCTTTTTGTGTGAGTCCTCATTGTTATTTTGGTTGTGAATTTGGGGTGTACTTGCAGTTCATAGGAAGTAAGTAGTTTTTTTCTTTGGTCCTTATATGTCATTTTACATGAGGGTAAAATTGACATAAAATTTTTTATTAAAATGGAGGGTGGAGAAATAAGACGGTGGGGTGGGTTTATCAGCAATCAAACTCTATAAATACATGTTTTATGGGGTTGATTTAGTTAGTTTTCAAATTTTATTGGAATCTAAATATTTTTAGGTAGGTTAAAATATTTATAAAAATAAATTATAATAATCTACATAAACTTTATTTTAAAAAAAGTTACCAAAATTTTTTTTTTGCCTAAATTCATTCTTTAATAATCTCAGACTAAAATTTTAACTTAGAACTATTGGAGAAGAAAAACAATTTCTGAGTTAAAACCTAAATTTTCTGGGTTAAAAATTTTAGGTTTTAACCCTAAATTTTTTATTTTTTTTCCCTCAAGGTTTTAGCCCAAGGATTATAGATGACCTTAGTAATCCATGTCTACGAAACAGGCAAAACCGTTAACATACTAGAGAAGATATAAATATTTTGGCTTCAATAACAAGGTGTCATATTGACATTGCAACCTCAAAGAGGTGACATTAACTATAAAAAATAAAATTTCATTTGAGAGAAATAATTTACTCTAAAACAAATATGAGCAAAAGTCACCAAAATCTTGTCACCAATAACGGAACGGTGTTGATTTCTTTCTTATTTTTTATCACCCAAATATAAATTGGTGTGTTTTGCTAATGTGAACTTAATCTAAAATATTGGGTGGTAATTACAAGCAACTCAGCTAATTTTTCCATCTTGATTTATAAGAAACTAGCCTCTCTGCACGCACTAACGTGCGTGCGAGAGGCATTTTTGCATCACGGGCGCTACGCGCCCCAAAGATGTGTTATTTTAAATATTCTTATATTTCTTAAGTGGTTATTTTAAAAATTGTGGATGTGTGTCCATCACAACAATTTTTTATTATTTTCAATCATCTCCAACGAATTCCATAAAAATTATTTAAAAATTAATTGAATGCAAATATGTGATTAAAACTGAAAATGGAGAGAGAATGAAAATTGAAAACATGAATTACTAACCCAATAAAAATTTCAATTTTAGGAAAAGAATATGTTCTGAAAAAGATTTTCACCCTAAAATTCATCACCATCTATTTGTATAAACAATGAAGAAGCAAACCTGAAGAGAACTGGTTGGATTAATTGGAACACTGCCAATTTCTCATTGATCCTTCTTCCCATGCGAATAAGAAATCAAATTGAGTATCTAATTATAGCTTTAAATGTAAATAGAAAGTATTAAAAGGCTTACTAAAACTATTAAAGCAAAAAACAACATTAATTTAAAATTTGAACAACCTGATTTCTGCATTTTTCTTGTTTGGTTCTGCAAAGATATGAAAAGATGAAAATCAACTTATTCCTTTTATCTGTTGCGTAACTTGCGTTACCAACATTCACAGAGAAAAATTCATGAACGAAAACTACAATTTTGAAGTTAAATTGGGTTTTAATGAATAAATTTAGACTACATCTGTCCACAAACACATTGATCTCTAAGACATCAATTGATATGAATTACAAAGAACATGAATAAAATGAGTTCTATCACAGTAATGAACAACAGATAAGGCAATAATTGTGCAAATGGTTCTCTGCAAGTGCAGGCTGTGCATGCCATAAGATTTAGTTGTGTATGTTCATAGCAACACTAATGGTTATTCCCTGCTTGAAAATATAGACAGATTACTTCCACACAGAAATACATTGGCATCAGATACGTTTGAAATCAAAGCCATGCTTGCCACCCATTTGCTTGCACTTGATGGTTTAGATTTTCATGGTTAATCTGCAAGCAATGATGATAAAATAAGAAGTCTAATTATAATGCACAATCCCAATTATAAAGGTTGTAAGCAATTTAACCTAAACACCTTTAACTTTGACAATTTCTGATGGCAATACTTTTATTCCAGTTACTTTTAGAATCATCTTGACCCTATAACAAAAAGGAGAGAGAAAGAATAAGAAAATTGAAATAAAAAGCACCAAGATTTTAACCACAAAAGCTATAGCACATACGTTTCAAAGGCGAAAACCCATGGAAGTGAAAAGAAAGAAGCTTACACCCAGATTAATTTCCTTTTTACGCCTGGGGAGAGGGAGAGGGAGAGAGAGAAGAATGGCAAAGCAAAAAAAACGAAAAATTTGAAAAAAAAAAAAAGAGAAGAAGAATGATGACTCAGACGTTGCTTAAACACGTTTTATCCCACGTTGGAGTGTGAGAGTCTGTAATATCAAGCAACAACTCTTGATAGCAATTACATAACCGAGGGGAAAATTAGAACATTTGAATTTGGATATGGGAAAATGAGTAGAAACGGAAAAAATGGGATTTTATGAACTGGGAAGTTAGCGTTTGTAGTGGGCGAATTACACTCCTTTTTGAAAACTCAAGGCAACCTCTACCCCTTTCTTTCTCCCACATTGATTTCGTATATATCTATATATAAATATAGAATTTTGTGAGATATTAATTCTTTTTATCACATTTTTAAATTTCTTAGATATTTTTTTAATACAATTTTGTTAGATTAATATTTTCTCCGAAAATAGAGGAGTGGAGTATTATATGACCTTTTTTTTTTTTTAATTTTTCAATAAAACACAACTAATATTTCTAACACACTCACCAGTGTTGAACACAATATCATTTCTGCATTTATCTTCTGGTACGTGGGTTCTTGGTAGTTTTTGTTTCTACGGTTGTTCATGGTTCTCTCTGAATTTGGAACTGATGACACCATTTTGAATGTCCTTTTCATTTTACGCTTAGAAATTTTTCCCTTGGCTGAGCATATGAAAGGTATTGAAGTGAAATTTGTAAACTGCAAGTAACTGAATATGGGGAGTTACTGCTTGGTAGTGGGTGAAAATTTTGATCTAACGGAAGTTGAAATTGATTAAATAAAAGAAATTCAAGGAGAGAAGAATGATAGGATAAGTAGGATTCTCCCACGTTGGTTGGTTTCTTATTTTTTAATATATTTTTGTGAGATATTAATATCTCTCCTCCTAAAATAGAGGAGGCACGGGCCTTTATTTTTTTCCAAATAAAACAAAATTTGAATTTACAGTTTTATTTGAATGAGGTATCTGGAATTATAGGTGGTGTTTTTAATCTTATAAACGTGGTGTTTTTAATTATTTTAATGTTTTTTATTGATTTTTTTATTATTAAGAGAGAAAATCATCCGGAATTATAGGTGGCAAGTGCATCGTGCAAAATGGAGTGGAGTGAAATTCATCTGGTTTTAACTGTTTGTATTTACCATTTGTCTCTTTTTCCGCAAAACTTCTTCTCTTTACAGCTTAACCCACGTGGTTTTAATCCTTTTTTTTTTTTTTTTATTTCAGTTTTTTTTATGACAAATTACCCTTGCGAATTTGTTTCTACTATTTTCAGCGAGTTTTAATTTTTTTTGTTTGGAGGGTTTTTTTTTCCAAAACTTTTTGGTGAAGTCTTGAGATACCAAACTCTCATTCTTGCCTTCTAACTGCTCTCCATAACTGCTAACTTTTAGAGGATAATTATCATGATTTTTTTAATTACCATATTTTGTTTCCAATACAATTTCTGATAAGTTAAATTCTTTTTTACGTTTTTGTCCTTGATTTTGAGATTTTTTGGACTTTGATTGTGAAGGAAACAAAGGGACTTTCTTGGCATTTTTGAATGCTTCACCAAACTGGCCTTCTCCCTTTATATATATAGATGTTCATATTTTTAATTAATACTTGTGAAATAAATAAGAGGGAGTGTGTGATCAGTAGATATCAATGTTTATATATTATTTTTTTGCATAGAGATATGGCTTAAATTATCGAGAGCTGCAAAGATTTTTTTTAATGCTCAAGTATATAAGCATTTCTCATGTAAAATAGAGCAAAAGGCTCCACCAAAGGGTGTAATGTTAGCTATACTCGTACGTCTCTAATGCTCCTAGGAACTAGATGCACACTTTGACCATTAAGAGAATTGAGAATCTTGATGAGAATTCTCATCAAGAATTAGCTCAAAAATTAAGGAAGCACCCTAGTTGGCATGCTCAAAGTAATCCAATTCAAGAAGTTGAGAGAGAGAGAGAGAGAGAGAGAGAGAGAGAGATAAAATTGCTCAAGCATCGATGGTGCTATTAATGTTGAAGAAAAGACATCTCACTCACATTGGTTGAGTGAGTACCATTAATGATCTTCAATATTAACTCTCTACTTAAGGAGTATACACATGGTGCAAATTTAGCTCGTATTTCTTTTCTAGTTGTATTCGAAGAAATTTTAGCATATGTGGTGAGAACTTAAATGAAGAAAAGATAACTTGGTTACCTAATTCTATTCCCTAAAGTACTAAGTGATTGATCCGCGTCGGAAATGTAAGGAGATTGCGGATGAGTTCGCATTCCTTAATTTGGACTTAGAACATTTCATCAACATTTCATTATTGAGCAATATTTTGTTTGGAATATTTTTCGATTTACCAAATATTTGAGAAGTTAAAATACTTTATAATTTCAAGACGAGTGTTATGTTAGGTTGCGGAATTATCTCAACTTATATTAAATGTGTTTTTTCATTAAATATGGAATGCTAAAAGTTAGTTGATCAAAATGGTTAGAGATAGGTCATTACTTGACCCACCCACTAAGTGATCAACAATACTTGGAAATTTTAGTAAGTTTTGGAGAAGCCTCAAGAGAGTGCTATTCAATCTAGCTCGAATTAGTGAGCTAATTCACTCCAATTGCAATTTTATTTTAGTTGAGAGCATTAAGTAGATGCTCCCCATGTTTTCCCGAAAAATTTAGTATTCTTCCTCCTAAAGGGCAATTTCTTTTTTTATTGTACATTTTCATAAAGCCTTGGTTTAACAACAACTTTATATGTACATAATAAAGCCATGAAATTTCGAGTAGAATTCCAATCCCGTGGAAAGGATTTTCAGAAATTTTGGGTAATATCTCACCATTTAAGAGTGCAATTTAACTCTTCCAACCTAGTAGGAGATGTTTCTTGAAAGTTTGCTACCTACAATTAGTCCATAAAACCCTAAAGTAATTGAATGAGCAAAGAAACTACTTTGAATTTTCAAGTAGCTTACACCACTTCTCACATATGGTGAGATGGTTGTGTAGGATACATGCTAAATCGTTGACTAATTTCTTGTGACATTTAAATTGCAATAGAATTGACTATAAATTTGTTCTTCACATTGAAAAGATCTTCCAATCTTTAAGCAAAGATGGGGGAAAATGAAATATCCTTATGTGGTGTCTAAAAGATTGTAAGATTAGTGAGAGTACATCTAATGGAAGTGTAACACTAGAGCTTAGAGATTCTCCAAGCAAAAGGTTGATGGGGGAAAATGAAATATCCTTATCTGGTGTCTAAAAGCCTAGTGGGACTACTACTAATGGAAGTGTAACACTAGTCTGAAAGCAGTCTCTAAGCTAGAATACTAGCTAAAGTATAAAAAGTTGTAAGTTTAGTGGGGGTGTAACTAAAGGAAGTGTATTGCTAAACAAGTAATCTTCCACCTTAGGGAAGTACAACCAAAGAGAATGTATTAAACCGCAGTGGGAGTACAACTAATGAAATTGTACCACTGCAGTTACGTGAGAAGAACAAAGTTTTCCTTCTTCATCGCATTTTTTGGTTTGAAGAAAAGGGAATTCAAAAAGTAACATAGATTATGAATATGATATAGTCAGTAAATTCAGTGACTTGTAATGAAAGTCAGAAAGCATGTGAATTAAAACTTATTAAAATTAGAGTGGTCTTAGAAGGTTCATTTTCCACTTCGTAATCGAACCAGTGAAGTGGTTGACATTAGTGAATCGTTGAACTTAAGATCCTGCCACATCATGAAAAGGCTATTAGGTCTCAAAGACATTCTCCCTAGATGGTGAGAAATGTTACTCCGCTTTGTTACATGACTTAAAGAAAGGGTCATCACTCCTCACTGACAAATCTTTCATTAATAAGCGAAATTGATAATTTTTCTTTCATAAAAGAAATGATTTTCAATGGAGATGGAAAGTATGATATGTCTTCCCAAGGTGAGGTCAGGCATGACTCATTTTTTCATAACCTAGTCTAAGTGAAAAATTCTCAAACTGAAAAGAGAATTGGGTTCACACACGATTAACTTCTAGACAAGTGTCTTTATTTGTGTTGACATTTGGAAGTCGTTCTAGTTGTTGTTGTACTTTAAGACATAGAACCCAAGATCCAAGAATGGTGATGTGATATGGCTTACCTTCGTACCCAAGGGATGTCTTGATTATGCATAGCCCTTTCATGCTTCTTTGTAGCATACTTTAGATGTTGAGGGATAAACCCTCTTTGAAAGGTATTGAAAGGTAAATAAATAAATGCTTATGTTTTTGTCTTTCCATGAGTGCTAATAATTGATGTCTCTTTTTCAATAGAGATTGTCACCATAATGTGTTGTGAGAGATAATGTATTTTGACATGCTAGAAAAGTTTTAGTGATACTCTTAGATGCTTCTTAGTTGATTTACTAAAGATTAACGTATACAAGCTCTACGGTTGCCAGCTAGGCTACACTGAAACTCAAAGACATCCTATAAGAGATAGAGTGTCGTCTGATTCTAGACCAAAGCTTCCTAGAGTGTGAAATGAGGAATAGTGTTACCTGATTTCTTAAAATGTGTATGTAGAGATAAGAGAAATTATACGTGTGCCAATTGTAAGGCGACATGTATGACCACGTGTCTATATCTAGATAATAAAAGAGCTAATACATGCATCAATTGTGAGACATCAGGCATAACCCGTTTGTTCTACGTTCATATATGTGCTAATAATGTAGCAGCATGTATGACACGGTGTGTGGATAAGAAATTATATAAATACCATTTTTGAGGTGTTTATATACAAACTCATTAGTCCTCATAATAAAATAGTGTGCACCCGCTATTTACAAAGTGTTGATGCGTGGTTTATCAGATAAGTGGATGATAAAGTACTACTAAACTTAGAGCGGTAAGGAGGTTTTCGTTAAACATCATTTTGGTTCTTCTATCATCATAGGGTTGACAAAAGATCCTTCGTGGAAAAATGATTGTTCAAGGTGCAAGTAATTCCATGTTACTCATGGTTGAAATATTTTCTCAATAGAGTGACGAAAATATACTTGCATTTACCTTATATGGAATTGAAAGAATCCACATATTTGTGAAACTATTTAAAAGGTGTTTTGCATTAACTAGAAAGATTTTATGTGAGTCTTCCCTAATCTATGCAAAAGAGGTCCCTAAAATGGAGGGAACCCAAATTTGTTCATGATTACATGTTATTGCACAAAATGAGGAGTCTCCAGATGTAGCCTTAGTGACAGTTGTGATATGTCACATTCCTAGGTATAAGGGTTACAAGAGACTCATTAAGACTAACGTTTTTTAGAGAACATTATGATGCACATTTTTTACAATTGTCACTAAGTTAGAATAGGTTTTTCACACGAACGATTACCCTGGCGTTGAAGTAGCAAGTGACATGAGACATATGTATCTGAAATGCATTGGAGTGTGAAACTAGGAAAGTATATGATTTCATGTACAAATCATACACTAGATATATATATATATATATATGTCGCCTTAGAAGTGTCTAAGATGAGACCAAACAAAGGTCGAACATGGAGATTTTCCTATTTGAAATCCATGTTAAAACTTGTGAAGTTGGATGTGAGTAACTAGGTAAGTGCTTGTGTAGTGCTTAGACTAAGATATGTATGGTGTATATGCCAATGGACACCTTGAAGGGACTAGCAATAAGGTGTTTCTTAGAATTTCCAACTGCTCTATCAACTGCTTCGAGAGCCTAGCTGAAATCTTTACCAATACCTACTCGATATACCATAATGTCCAGAAGTAGCACGTGGCCATATTCGGCATCGTTGCCTAGAGCAAGGATGAAAGCTTTAAGGCTTACTTGAAGTGATTCCGAGCAGGATTAGTGGAGTTAAAGAAG